TGCTAATCATGCTAGAAACATGCTAGCAACAAGCTAATCATGCTAGAAACAAGCTAGTAACTTGCTAGTAACATGCTAATCGTGATAGAAACATGCTAGCGACATGCTAGTAACTTATTAATCAAGCTAGCTAGAAACATGCTAGCAACATGCTAGTAACATGCTAATCATGCAAGAAACATGCTAGTGACATGCTAGTAACTTGTTAATCATGCTAGCTAGAAACATGCTAGTCACTTGCTAATCATGCTAGCAACATGCTAGTAACATACTAATCATGCAAGAAACATGCTATTGACATGCTAATCATGTTAGGAACATGCTAATAACTTGCTATTCATGCTAGCAACATGTTAGTTACTTGCTAGTCATGCTAGCAACATGCTAGTAACATGTTAATCATGCAAGAAACATGCTAGTGATATCATGCTAGAAACATACCAACAACATGCTAGTAACTTACTAATCATGCTAGCAACATGCTAGTTACTTGCTAGTCATGCTAGTAACGTTAATCGTGCTAGAAACATGCTACCAGAAGGTTAGTAACTTGCTAATCATGCTAGAAACATGCTAGTAACTTGCTAATCATGCTATCAACAATGCTAGTAACATGCTAATCATGCTAGCAACATGCTAGTAACATGCTAGTAACTTGCTAATCATGTTAGGAAACATGCTAATAACTTGCTATTCATGCTAGCAACATGCTAGTAACATGCTAATCATGCAAGAAACATGCTAGTGACATGCTAGTAACTTGTTAATCAAGCTAGCTAGAAACATGCTAGTCACTTGCTAATCATGCCAGCAATATGCTAGTGACAGTCCAATAATGCTAAAAACATGCTAATCATGCTAGAAGCATGTTATCAACATCTATCTAATCTAAATTTTCAAACTTCAGGCTTTTACAACTGCTTTAAACTTTCAGGCTAGGCTTTCTCAAGTCAACCTAAACTTTTTTTTTGTATCTAGTTGTTTTATTGATGTCTCTTAACTTAGACAACTGATCTGATGTGAAAACAAACTTCAGGAGGTAGAAGAAACCCAATGGCGCTCCAGACTCAATTCTGAGACCAGACCCTGAGAAAACACGTCAGCGGACCTGATGTTCCTGTAGGAGCCACGGTGCATTCAGACTGACTTCTGTACTGGCATCACATTATCTTCAAGACAAACAAACTGTCATACGGCAGACACTCAGACGAGACACTCTCATTTCTATTCCGCGTCTCACACTATAATTTCATTTCCTGTAACAAGTAACAGCGAGGCCTGCATTCAAAGCATCAGGCTGATGAACGACCGCAAGAAACGTCCCGTAAATATGCAAGCGCTCGGACTCTCAGCGGACTGCAGAACACTCAACATGTGCTGGGGCTGCTAATACCATCTTAATATCTCAATATGATCTTGGAAACACTACTATAGAAGTGTAGTTCAATTTTCAGCCTCACACAAAACTATATGAAAGCCTTCAGAAGATTTGGAATACAGTGTCAAGATTTGGATTTTGTGTCATTTTGACAACTTCAGTTCATTTAATGCAAAAGAGCAGCCAGGATATTCTGCAAAATCACTTCACGGAACGAATCGTACAGGTTTGGAACAACACGAGGATAATTTCAGGGCCAGATTCGTGAAAATCTGCTTAAAGGTGTTAAGAAATTTTGTAGAAACAAACAAACAAAGACAAAAAAAGAGGTTCATAAGAAGTGAAATTCTTAAAAAATGCTTAAGATGCTCTCATATATCTTCTGAAGAACATCTCTTTTCTTCTTCTCCTGTGAATGCTGCTGAAAATTAACATTTTAAAATTACACAAATGAGGTCCCTGCTGTTTGTTTGTTTTTTTTGTATAAATTAATTATGAATTTAGCAAAAAGCAGGAAGCAAGAAGTCACATCATGCCATAATCATGTTATGTTAGTAATATTTGTCATATGCTGTATACATAGGTGGTGTTTTGTTGTAATGTTTAATATTTTAAAACAATAAATTCGTTAACCATCCTACTTTCCAGGATTTCAGACAAGTTGAAGGTTATCCTAACTTCAAGAGGCTATTTTTCGATGATTTTAAGAACATTTGTTTAAAAAATTGTAATATTGTTTGTAAAATTTTGTCTTTAAAACAATCTAAAGAATTAAAGATAAGAACATTCTTCTATGGGAAACACTAAATATTAATAGAAAATAGCAGTTAATAATAATTTTATACAAATGTTCTGTGAATTCGGACCCAGATGTAAAGCTGAGAAAGACTGCAGTTTTCTCCCATTATCTGCATGACTGCAAATGTGATATTGGTTTATACAACAGTTTAATAATCAAGAAGCTAATAACTCCCTACTTCTATTTTGGCATTAAAATTAACTGAATAGAACTGTTAATAGAGCTGTTAAACGTATAAACTTCACAGAACTGTTGTGCAGTGTTTTGTTCCTGAGCGAATCAGTCTTTTTGAATGAATCTGTGTGTGTGAACAGTGACGGGTGTGACGTGCATCACATTTAACCCATTAAGACATAATTAACTGTCTCTTACAGCTAAAATTTGAGTCCATAATCCATAATAACGCTTAAATGTGCATCTGCTGTTGTCTCTCGCATCAAAATCCAGCCACATATTTGTTTAGAGCTGTTTAAACGCTGCTTGATCTGTGCGGATTTCTCTCCTGATTCAGACCAGAACACTTTTTTTGGATTATGGATTATGGACTCGTATTTGAGTTAAAAACGTCTTAATGCTGGATTAGTTTCAGCTTTTGTCTTCTCCAGATGTTAACTGATGAACTGGAGTGCTGTGGATTACTTGTGGATTATTGTGATGTTTTTATCAGCTGTTTGGACTCTCATTCTGACGGCACCCATTCACTGCAGAGCATCCATTGCTGAGACACTGATGCAATGCTACATTTCTACAAACCTGATGAAGAAACAAACTCATCCTGATCTCGGATGGCCTGAGGGTGAGCACATTTTCATTTTTGGCTGAACTATTGCTTTATGAGTGACCAAACATGACTAGCACAACCGTACCTGTGGCGATCTGAGTGACGAGCGAGTCGTGGCTCTTATAGAAAACTCTGGCACACAGAGCAGAGAGACCGGTGGTCTTGAGAAGAGCGCTCTGGTATGAAGACAGCAGCTGATCGGTGACGCTCTCGGCTGCTGCGTGAGGATCGCTCAAACTCACGCTGAGAGACAGAGAGGCGTATCGAGCGCAGCTGGACTGCAGCAGACGGCACTCGACGCTGCACGCCGGGATCTGTGAGACGGAGAGATGAGACGCTCTGTCTGTGGGACGGTCCAGCACAGCCGTGACATGCAGCTCCACCGCTGCTCCTCTGGGTAACGACGGCACGACTGCAACGCTGCTCTCCACCTGAGGACAGACAGAGACAAACACAATGCACTGCAACAAGAGCAATCAACAGATGCACACAAGTTATGGATTGTAAATGTCTTTCATTCATCTGTTGATCATATCCAAGAGGATTCAACAAAACACTATGGGTCAGTTTTACTAAACAGGGCAAATTAGCGCGAGAGCGCAATTCCAAAACAGCTCGCAACAGTGCGTGTGATTTACTAACAACGCACAAATTAAAGAACACAGACGTAACATCTCATTTGCGCAAATTAGCGTAGTCGCAAATAAAGAAGCCACAGTACGTTGAAAAGAACCGGAGGCCAAAAAATGAAGGGTTGCAAGAAGTTTTGATAGACTTGGTTCCAAGTGGTCTTTAAGCAGTAGATCTACACCGGCTGCCTCTGCTTTGAAACTACACACAGAGAGCTGCTGAGTTTAAAAACATGTTATGGACTAAAAATAAATAAAAATGCATTTCAATTTATCAGGAACCTTGATTTCTCTTGAAACGACCCTAGCAAACATCAGTGTATGGACCCTGTGATGACACCTGTCCACAGCTATTTATATCTCTGTACTTTGTGTTCTACTTAGGGTTGCAAAGGGGTGGAAAATTTCCGATAAATTTCCGGAAACTTTCCAAAAATCCTTGGAATATTACAAAAAAATCCTGGAAAGTTTCCAAAAATTCTGGAATATTTCCGAAATTTACTGAAAATTTTCCACATTTTTGCAACCCTAGTTCTACTACCTAACACTGCCGTGTGAGTGTTTTTATTACAACAGTTGAAGGAGTGAAGGCAAACTTGGCATATTTCTCTTTTCTGAACACTTAAAATGTAAGGAATAAATGGAAGGGGACACAAAGAAATTAGTGAGCTTATGATTAAAACAAGAATAAATATCTACCAATGCAGTCAGAAAAAGAATCCTCATTCAAAGGGAAAACTGGTCGATTTTTCTGACGCCACTGAATGATATATGTTCTTGTTTTAAGCATAAATGCATTTCATTTAGCCATATCTCTCAGAAAACAAGATCTCGTATTCATCTTCATTGCGCATCTCAAGTAAATGTATCCTGATTCAAGAATATTCAGATATTAGATAAGACAAAAACACTGATTAAATATTTTTGAATTTGTTTTTGTAGTGCATGCCACATTTAGTGCCATGACGTTATGAATTTAAGACTTTCTGCTCTGATTCAAGTGGTAAGACTTAAAGCCTTTATGTATAATGCATAACAACAGTATTCGTAATGTATGCTATAATGCATTTTTTTCATGAATAATTGTTGAAACCAAATTTAAAATGCATTATAATATCTGAAGGTTTGTTTGTCATGTGTTTAAATGCACTGTACTTTCTAACACATTTTCATTTTTGGCTGAACTATTGCTTTATGAGTGACCAAACATGACTAGCACAACCGTACCTGTGGCGATCTGAGTGACGAGCGAGTCGTGGCTCTTATAGAAAACTCTGGCACACAGAGCAGAGAGACCGGTGGTCTTGAGAAGAGCGCTCCGGTATGAAGACAGCAGCTGATCGGTGACGCTCTCGGCTGCTGCGTGAGGATCGCTCAAACACATGCTGAGAGACAGAGAGGCGTATCGAGCGCAGCTGGACTGCAGCAGACGGCACTCGACGCTGCACCCCGGGATCTGTGAGACGGAGAGATGAGACGCTCTGTCTGTGGGACGGTCCAGCACAGCCGTGACATGCAGCTCCACCGCTGCTCCTCTGGGTAACGACGGCACGACCGCAACGCTGCTCTCCACCTGCGCCGCTCCGGCACACTCCCCCTGACGAGAGACAATGAGAGAGCAATAAGACAAGACCAAAACACTGATTAAATATTTTTGAATTTGTTTTTGTAGTGCATGCCACATTTAGTGCCATGACGTTATGAATTTAAGACTTTCTGCTCTGATTCAAGTGGTAAGACTTAAAGCCTTTATGTATAATGCATAACAACAGTATTCGTAATGTATGCTATAATGCATTTTTTTCATGAATAATTGTTGAAACCAAATTTAAAATGCATTATAATATCTGAAGGTTTGTTTGTCATGTGTTTAAATGCACTGTACTTTCTAAAGATGTAGCAATGAATAGCAAAGTATCCTAACTCTGGCTACAGTTATTCATGAGATTATACAACGCATTACAAGGTGAATTAATTAATGCATTAAAATATTTTGTAATGCATTAACATTTTATAATGCATTATACATAAATGCTTTAATTAAAGTGTTACCAACACCTTTTTAGGCCTTATTTTGTGGAAGGGTGAATTAAGACCCGCAGAAAGCCTGTCGAAAGTGTTACCGGGTTGCTTGAAGTTACAAAACATGCAAGTAAAGGCTTGCGGAGCCAATGCAAAGAGCAGAGCAGTTGAATAAAGATCACCTGAACCCTCAAAACTCACGTGACCGAGCCACAACAAAGACACGCGGCGTGATTGATTCACGGGTCATTTTACACCATTTCACCACACTGGAGAGCGGCAGTGATGGCTTTAAATGTCTTCATCATCATCATCATCCTCCGCAGCAGAGTTAAAATCTTTATTCTGGGTTGGCGTCTGCGCACGGGCCATTATCGCCTCTCAAACTCGCATGCGGCACAATGCGACCCTCAAATAACACCGTCTCATCTGCTAAAGGGGGACAAATGAGTGTTTTATACAACAGCCGCTTTGTTGTGCCGTCGATAAGGGCAAAAACACTTAACCCCCTTTTCAATTGGCTGGATCAATTTTCATCCACTCACATCCCACTCCAGCACAGCAGAATAATGACGGGTTACATACACTTTATTTTGAAATTCACTCGAAAGCAGACGGCGAATAAATCAGAGCCTTTTCTCCCAATTCTGTGCTGCTCGTGACCCGACGGGAGAACGCTGCACTTAGCTCCAGATTAAAGCAGCCGCCGCTGATTGCGGATCAACATCGAACCACTTTTCAGCGCGGCTGCGAGTAAACAATAGCAGCTTTAAGCAGTGTGTAAAGCGTTCACTCAGACGTCTGTAACAAGCGCGCTTTAATACGCCAAAGATTAGCACTTAACAGCCACGAGGGGCCGTAATGAACGGGAGGCTGTTAATGGCCCTCGGGATCCGGAGGGCCTCGTTTAGTGGCGGCCCCTGACATCAAGCTCCTCACCTTCACGGGTCAAAACCAGCCCAAAACTCTGAACTAGTTCAGGTACATTCATGCCTCACGCCATTTGAAGCCATAATCCCATCCAGATCACACCACCGGTCCAAAGCATGAAAATAAGGGTTTTCAGTGTTTTTAAATAAGAAGTTTTTTTCTGCTTACCAAAGCTGCATTTATTTGATCAAAAATAGTTAAAATTGTATAATATTTTTGCAATTTAATATATCTGTTTTCTATGTGAATATCTGTTAAACTGTAATAAATCTAACTCAAACCATTTGAGTTCATAGAGTACAGTAAATAAAAAGTTCTGTCATGAAACTCTAGATACCGCAGGTCGACAGGTTCTATCTCAATCTGATATAATCACATCATTATTCACATGGTGCAGCCGACTGGTTCTAGTTGCATCAACAGCCAATGGTATAAACATCATTCAATGTAAATTGTGATAATCGTAATTAATAATCGCAATTACAATTTCAAGGGAATAATCGACAATTATGATTTTTGTCATAATCGTGCAGCCCTAATCAAAACCAACCAACATTTAAATTTGTTAATAAAACAAAACCAACATTTAAATCTTTGATCAATATTTAAATTACATTTCTAAACGGAACAAATATTTAAATTTCTTAATAGAACAAAACAAAACAACTGATGTTTATATTTCTTAATAGAACAAAATTTACCAATATTTTAATTTCTTAGCAGAACAAATATATAGAATAAAACTGATCAATATTAAAATTTCTTAATAGATCAAAACCGACCAATATTTAAATTTCTTAACAGAACAAATATCTAAATTTATACAGCAGTTCTTTCTGGTCCTCGAATCTGATTGGCTGATAAGAGTGTGATATTAGAGTCCAACAGATCTCCAACAGCCCTTTCCTGTAATTTTGAAAATAATACTGTTGTGTTTCACAGAATGTAGTTTTAAGAGTTTTTTAGTCGAGAATGTACTTGTTTGGACTTCAAATATGCGGTTTGTTAATAAAGATAACGTCTATTTGAAAATTTGCTTCAATGTTTTTGGAGACGTGAGCTCCAGAGCGTCAGCAGCTGTTCAGCGCTCATGAACCCACCGAGAGCAGCCTCATCTCGGCCAGATCTTCTAGAATTTGCCTCTGGCTCTGATGTCTCTATAGTGGTTAAACATGAGATTTTGGGTAAATCTAACAGGCAGTCTTTGGTCTCATTAATCTATTATTTGTTCCAGAGCAAGTAGTTTTGGCGAAATCTCATCATGTTTATGTAACTTCAATGCTGTATATCAGAGCGCTGCCTCTGTGCTTTTGACTGAATTGCCTAGCAACTTTTATGATAGCTGTTGTTGTTTATTAAATATTATTATTCAATGAATAATATTTTAAATACTGTAAATAATAGTAGTATTTAGTATTGGTAAACGGTGTGTGTGTGTTCGTAATGGTGATTTTAGTTTCATTGTTCCGTTATATGGCGACAAGGGACTGTTTTACGAGTCAGCAGTAAATACTTTTAAATTGAAAAATTACTAAAGCGCAGTTTTGAAAAAAAAAAAGTTATTTTTTCTTTCATAAAGCTTGTACGCAGCCAACATGCACCGAGCAGTGCTGTCATCAGAAATCACCCTTAACAGATAAAAGGATAGTACGACAAAGATACCGCTTTCCTCAGCGGACATTCAAACTAATGTTTTATTGTGAATATGAGATTGATCTGAAGAATGAATGCTGCATCAGATGCAGGTAATCACGATCGCTCCGTCAATCTCTCTCTCATAATACTCTACTATACATAATACACCGCTTTTACTACAGTAATACAATAAGCTTTTAACACAGCAACTCAATGTTCCTTCGTTACTAGTTCTAAAGTGACATTTCTGAATTAGTAACGGATCTTGAGCTCAGCTGTTAAACTGCCAACTTTAGATTAGAATCCGTGGCGGAAGGAAGTAGTTCTGCACAAAATAGGGCTTTTAAAGACTCCGTTGTTGTTCCTATTTTATTTACACACTCGTGATGTCGAACTGTTGTATAAACGCAATATCACACGAGTAGACTGTCACACTGTGATTACTAGGGCTGTGTATCACCAGCAAAGAGGCCACGATACAGGACTGCACTGAATTTCACCTCAGAAGAGTTTAGTCAAACAGCTGTTTATTAAACACTGCTTACTATAGGGCTGTTGCTAACTGTTAGCAGAGCAGGCAGCTGACCTCTGCATTATGAAGGGCCTCCATAACTGTACCACAGTACAATAAAGGTAATGGCATATGTTTCATGTTTACATTGTGCACTCCCCACCAGATAAAATATTCTGATTGTTTGCATCTTGTTTTTAAGCCCATAAATAATAATGTACTCGTTCTAATAAATTTATATTGTAATGTACTCATACTAATATATTAAAAAAATAATCTTTACATTGCTGGTAGGTTATCATTGCACAAATTAACACACTCTCTACACTTAAAAAAATAAAAATTAGAAGAGTTCTAAACTAATGCGCTGTCTTCACTGTATCTCATGCACACACATGCTCAGTCACTCACACAGATCACGCTGCGTGCGCGCACAGACATCAATAAAATAGCTTAATCGCTCAAGAGCTACATTATCTTTCTCAACAAGGAGCTGGTAACATCATCGTTTCTAAAGGAATTAAAGCCACAGCTTCTTAAGAGAACAAAACCAACCAAAATTTAAATTTCTTAAGAGAACAAAACCAACCAATATTTACATTTCTTAATAGAACAAAACCCACCAGTATTTCAGTCTCTTATTCGCTCTGAACGCCTGAATGTGTGCACGAGTCACTGCAGCACTGATGTATATGCTAGACAACACTGCAAATACAATATAGCCAGATCTAAATGCTAAGGTCATGGGTTCGATTCCCAGGGAACGCATGATTGAATGTATACAATTAAATGCAATGTAAGTGGCTTTGTTTAACAGCGTCAAATGCATCAATGTAAATGTAATAACTATAGCACCTGAGTGAGAGAGTTCATACACAACTTCAAAAACTTCATGAAGTTGTGAGCATGAGAGGCGTGAGCAGTTTTTTTTTTGATTGATCTGAAGTTAAACGCTCTCCACAAACAACACATCTGCTCAGCCGCCAATTAACCCCACAAACTCCATCACACACCCCATTACAGACATTATGAACGCTCCGGCACCAGGCACAAGCACACGGTCATGTTTCTATTATGGCTTCTTCCACTTCAGCAGCTCCAACTCCTTTAACTAGCGCTCTGATTGTTGGATGCGTGGTGAAGCCACTGGTAAACGTGACGACTGGTTTATCGTTCATCTAAAGAAAGCATTTCCATCATATCACTTGAGTGCACAAATCCAGCAGCATGTCAATGATGTGAGTGCACACAGGAGAGATCACTGCTCATTAGACATCACTGCTGACAGCCAGCGTCAACACACACACACTTTAACACTACAGCATCATTCATGTCATTAATGCATTGCTCAAAAGATATTCACAACTTGTTTATCTCACGGAATCTGTCAAAAATTCAGCATAAAATAGAAATTCTCTCTATTTTCTAAACACATGTTATAGATTTTACTGTGAACAATTAGTTTTGACCTTGTAATAATTAAGCAACCTTGTTTAATTAAAATGGGATCTTCTCTGGTTACACATATTTAAATCTTTTAATAGAACAAAATAACAGATATTTAAATTTCCTATTAGAACAAAACAACCAACATTTAAATTTCTTATTAGAACAAAATAACCGATATTTAAGTTTCTTATCTGAATAAAACTACCGACATTTAAATTTCTTATTAGAACAAAACAACCGACATTTAAATCTTATAAGAACAAAACAACCGACATTTACATTTTCTATAAGAACAAAATAACCGATATTTAAATTTCTTATAAGAACAAAACAACCGATATTAAAATTTCTTATAAGAACAAAATAACCGATATTTAAGTTTCTTATTTGAACAAAACAACCGACATTTAAATTTCTTATAAGAACAAAACAACCGACATTTAAATTTCTTATAAGAACAAAACAACCGACATTTAAATTTTTTATAAGAACAAAATAACCGATATTTAAATTTTTTATAAGAACAAAATAACCGATATTTAAATTTCTTATTAGAATAAAACAACGGATATTTAAATCTCTAAACAGAACAAAACCAGCTGACATTTAAATCTCTTATTAGAACAAAACAACCGACATTAAAAAATGTTATAAGAACAAAATAACCAATATTTAAATTTCTTATTAGAATAAAACTACCGACATTTAAATTTCTTATTAGAACAAAACAACCGACATTTAAATTTCTGATAAGAACAAAACAACCGACATTTAAATTTCTTACAAGAACAAAACAACCGACATTTAAATTTTTTATAAGAACAAAATAACCGATATTTAAATTTCTTATTAGAATAAAACAACGGATATTTAAATCTCTAAACAGAACAAAACCAGCTGACATTTAAATCTCTTATTAGAACAAAACAACCGACATTAAAAAATTTTATAAGAACAAAATAACCGATATTTAAATTTCTTATTAGAATAAAACAACCGATATTTAAATCTCTAAACAGAACAAAACCAGCTGACATTTAAATCTCTTATTAGAACAAAACAAACAACATTTACATTTCTTATAAGAACAAAATAATCAATATTTGAATTATCAGTTATTGGAGGGGGGGTATTAAAAACAACAATTATTTAATCATATGGTAATGCACATTTTTCAGTAAAGCACTGAGATGGAGTTGGGAAGCTGGGAAGAATACAAAATTTACTTTTATTTTTATTATTATTATTATTATTTATTACTAACAACAGTAATGTGCAAAATCAAATTTTTATATGAACAAATTATATATTATATACTCTCATTAAAGGCACCATTATTCTTTTATAGTATTATACTGAACTGACCGACAACGGCAGTGATTATAAAAGAAGGGCTCTTTATGTGATTCAGTCGCAAATTGAACACAAGTTTGTGTTTTCAAGGCACTTTGTGACTTGTCTTACTTCATACACATGAAAAGTTCAAAACTTTGACAAAATTTGATTTCTTGATGATTTAATATTTTATACTAGTGATTTTATAATATCAAAATATAAAGCAAAAACAGTGGAAATGAATGATTAATGAGCCAATAAGTGCTCCTCTTGCTGTCATCTACTGGTTATAGTGGTAATTTGATGTCTTTTTTAATTTTATTTTAAATAAGTGTTTGTTTACCACAAAGTATATTTTGGTCATACCATTGAAAATAACATTTAAATTGGATAATTTTTAGAGCTTTAGAAATCCAGAAAGTTTCCATTTGTAATTCACGTTAATCTCATTGGATTTTCATTGTTATTGTGCATGTGTACAATACTTTTACTCATCAAGGATGCATAAAATTTATCAAAAGTGACCGTAAAGACATTTATAATATTAGAAAAGTTTTCAGTTTCAAATAAATGCTGTTCTTTTGAACTTTCTATTCATATATATATATATATCATACAGTATTTCCTGTTGACAAAAAGCTCAGGAAAAAAAGAAAACTGTTGTTGACTATGTTGGGGACAGTAGGTCAGTAGGTCACATTTCTCACAGCCTCACCTGAGTGAGATCCGCACACAGCCAGTCAGAAGATATTTCATGTGTAATATACAGGTATGTGGCGCATGATGTCGGCCCAATGAGCTTCCACTGTGGGCCTCTGCAAGAATGTCTCAACACTGGACACTTTTTATAGAGTTTACGGGCTGTTAAAGCAATGACTGACTCACCTGGACGTCCTGTAGTTTGGTGTTCCAGGCCTCTGTGACGGCTGCGGCGTGTTCATGGTGAGTGATGTAAATGTGCGCCTGCAGCACGTGAGCCAGCGTGAGTCTGGAGTCCATCGCACACAGAACCTTCTCCAAGTGACTGAAGCAGAGCCGAGCCTGGAGAGCCACCGGCCCCTTCACCAGCTGCATGGAGCAGGGCACCAGAGCGATCTGTCCCGCGCAGAACACTGCCTCCCGCACCTGAGACACACACACACACTGAGTTAAACCACTCACAGGCATTACTGTTAGATCTGCACACACAACACCTCAGAGATAAACCATTCAAACATTCAGTTACAGGAGACACACAACTCCTTAATGAACATTGTTAATCAATTAATTGTGAGCCTGGAGCACAAAAGCAGTCTTAAGTCGCTGGGGTATATTTGTAGCAATAGCCAAAAATACATTGTATGGGTCGTACATGCATTGATTGAGTGCATGTGGCCTGTCTTCCTCTCCAGAGCCGCAGACATGCGCATGTGTCTCTCTGACTGACCAATGTGCTGCAACACAGAAGCGCAAAATACAAGATTTCAAGTCTCTTCTGTCATCATTTACTACCTCAAAAACCCACTGACTTTCTTCTGTCGAGCACAAAAGAAGACGTTTAGCAGAATGTTCACGCTGCTCTTTTACATACAGGCAAAGTAAACCCATATGGCAAAAATATTTTTTTTTTCTGGCCAAAATATACATTGTAAACCGTGAAGTTAAATGAAATATGTGTCCCTGGAGCACAAAAGCAGTGTTAAGTCGCTGGGGTATATTTGTAGCAATAGCCAACAATTCATTGTATGGGTCAAAATTATTGATTTTTCTTTTATGCCAAAAATCATTAGGATATTAAGTAAAGATCATGTTCCATTAAGATATTTTGTAAATTTCCTACTGTAAATATATCAAAACTTAATTTTTGATTAGTAATATGCATTGCTAAGAACTTCATTTGAACAACTTTAAAGATGATTTTCTCAATATTTACATTTTTTTGCACCCTCAGATTTCAGATTTTCAAATAGTTGTATCTCAGCCAAATATTGTCCTATCCTAACAAACCATACCTCAATGGAGAGCTTATTTCGAAAAATTGACACTTAAGACTGGTTTTGTGGTCAAGGGTCACAATTGATGTAAATTATTTATATTTAATTGATTTTAAAAATATTAAATTGATATTGAAAAACAGTAAGCAGGGCTGCATGATTAATCGAAAATTAAATCAAATTCCCCATTAGGCAAAAGCTGTGATTTTCATGCGCAGCTCAGGGATGCAAACTCATCATGGGTGAAAAAGGTGACAAAGACATGCAACAAACAAAAAAAACACTTATACAATATTTTAAAGCCTTTATTGGTTTTTTAACTCCACAGTTGTGCAGTAAAATTCACTTTAAAGATTCACTTTTCATTCATGGAGATGACATGAAAAAATCCTGGTGAAAAACAAAGACTTTTAAGATGAAAATTACACGAAATTACCATTATATCCAGTAGATGGCAGCAGAGGATCACTCATTAGCTCAGTTGCCATTTCCACTCCCAAGTTTTCACATCTTGCTATTGGATTTATTATAAAATGACTATTATAACAAATTTTAGTACTGTACTGAAGTAGTATTGAAAGTACAATTAAATAATAATGCATTAAATATTTTGAAATATTTTTAGATTTAATTTAAAAACTAAATTTTTAAACATCGTCTTAAAAAGGACACATCAAAAAAAGTGCTAAGTTTTATCTTTAACTGTAGAGGCTGCTAAATATATTCAGTCAACACAGACTTGTTGCTGCTGTAGTTTTGTTACTCTGCATCACTTAATGCACAGCTCTATTTTTGATATCGGCCTGTCAAACAGTTCGTTCCGCCCAGTGCTACAGTTATCACTGTCAATCATAGCAATGACTGATGGAACAATTTAGCGTATTCACTTGCATAATTATTTACACTCGCATTTGTCACTCCTGAAACAGTATACGAGGACTTTCGTTCATTTTAGACAAACAAAACTTTTCTTCAAATTGTCAATGGATTATGTAGCGAAAGGGCTCATCTTATAGCGCAACTGACCGAGCTTACTCACACGAAAACTCCTGATATAATCAATGAATAACTACACAATCAATCTCTTATTCACACCGTGTGTATGATTTTTTTTCGCGAATCTCGTAGGTGACCTATTTTGATCTCAAAATCAAAAAATCAAAAAAAGTTTGCATCTATGGCAGCTTGTCAGTGGAGCACAGTTCTGTGTTCAGTAGTAAATCTCCATCCGAAGGTCAGAGGGTGCTCCCGTGCTGAAACTCCAAATATGCCCCGCAGAAGAAACATAGTTCTTTCCGCCCAGTGCTACAGTTATCACTGTCAATCATAGCAATGACTGACGGAACAATTTAGCGGATTCACTTGCATAATTATTTACACTCGCATTTGTCACTCCTGAAACAGTATACGTGACTAACGCATGACTATGACAATATATGGTTTATTTGAGTTCTTATTATAATTTCATTATAATAAAGTATATTTATAATGCAATGTCTAATTAGTTTTGAGTAAAAACAAATGTGGTTTATAATGCAATGCTAAGTGAGTTTTGAGTAAAAACAAATGTGGTATTTTGTTGGCCAAGAGGTTTATAAATGCGTCGCATGTTAGGAAAGGTGTTTGATGCATGTTGCTCTTTCAAAAGCACGTTATAAATGACTCAAACTCGCCGTGCTTTCAGATGGAGCAGCATTTACTACACAGAGCCGTAGTTTACTGACAAAACAGCTTTCATAATCGCACATTGATTTCATGATTGCATGATTAATTTGATCTGCGATTATGAAAGCTGTTTTGCGCAGTTTCTTATGGCGCTTTTCCACTGCGTGGTACGACTCGGCTCGGTACGGCTCAGTACGGTACGGCACGGCTCGGTTCGGCTTTGTTTGCGTTTCCACTGCAGTTTAGTATCGCTTTAGAATGGGCGGGATTATTCACATG